CGGCAGGAGATTCATTCTTTGTGGGAGGGTTATTTTGAACTGGAGGGTTATTTTGAACTGGAGGGTAGTTTTGAGCTGGAGGTTGCGCAGTTTTAATAAAAGGCATCACGTCATATTTTTTCTTCGGTACCCTTGGACGACTCTTATGTTGGACATTTGTTAAATAATCGACGTAGCCTTTGTGTTTGCGATCCAATCTCCCAATGACATTATCTTCATTCACTGGGGGGTTGATATTTGCGTTTATATAAGGTTTGTCGTTAACAGATGGTAGGATCACGTACCCATCGTTGGTTTTGGGATATCCCAATGGAAAATTTTCTTCGATATTGGGATCTGAAGCCGAGAAATCATTCACATATTCGTTATTGTTTTCATCTACAGGATATCCGTCAGCGTTTCCAAATACTCGAGCATACGTTTTGTTTAAAATGACTTCCTTTTTGTCCAAAGACAATGGATCCGTTTTGACCCTGGGGTAAATTTCTTTGCCGCTGGACCGTTTTGCGTATCGGTCAATGTTTTTATTGTTCATGTGTATGACGTCACTATCGCTCTCTTTGTCTGTAATGTACCACTCGTTTCCGTCTTCGTCTTTTGGAAATATGACTTTTCCATTGTCGTCCAGGGCATAAATGTAATTGCCATTTTTCAATCTTGCAAAACGCGTATTGTCCAAGTAAAACTCGTCTCCGTTCGCCTTTTGAGCGTACACCTCGTCCCCATTTCTGTTTTTTGCCAAGTTATCCATGTAATATTCATTGTCGTAGCTGTCCATTGGATAAATGGGTCTACCATCATGACAGAGAGGGTATTGTGTATCATGATTTATTTTCATAATCCAATTGTTATCGATCACCACTTCACATCCTGTATTATTTTTTGGATAAAATCGATCTCCTTCGAACGTTGAGGCATATTGGGGGGTTTTACCATACCAAAAGGTATACTCATCACCATTATTCAACTTTGGATATAATTCATTTTCCAAGTGATCGCGAGCATATTTAAGCTCTCCGGTACTCGTTCTTAGGGGTATTGCTGGCGTCGGGTAATATTCATTGCCGATGGAGTTTTTCGCGTAATACGCTTCACCCCCTCTTCTGGCAAACATTGAATTCCCATTTGTCTCATCGATATCATCCACGGTGGGATAAGCCTCGCCTCCATCTGGGTTTCTTGGATAGTGTTGGTCGCCTAATGCATCCACGATAAAATATCCGTCTTCCTTTGGGAAATTTTCGGACATGGTTAAAACCCCCTTTAGAACATCAGGCAGCATGTACATTGTACTTGATTCATAAGATTAATGTAGAGTCGCGTCTTTAGGTTTCAAATTTTTATTATATTTTGGATATATTCCAAAACCTTTTTCATCGACTGCATAATATCCGTTCAAATTATCTTTAGCGGGTATTTCTTTCCACACGCGAAAAATGTAATACTCGCTTCCGTTGGCATTTTTTAGGATAAATCTCCTTTCCAGACACATTGCGCGCATAGTAGCGCTCCTCGTTATTTTTGGGGGGTACTTCTTTATTCTGACTGTCTTTGGCATAGATTGGATTTCCCAAAGCATCACGCGCATAGTGTTCCACACCATCGATTCCAAAGTAGATTTCATCCCCATTCACATCCCTAGGATACAAGGGTTGTTTGGATGTCAAGTCGAATGGATAAGCGATTAAATTGTCCCGGGTGAACAAATATTTCGGAGTCCCGTCTGGGGCTTTCGGAATGTATTCAACAGTACGCAATATTCCATTGACCATCATTTGATAGGTGGGATAACAGGTAAATCTTTCATTGGAAAGTAAAACTCGAGCAAATNGATTAAATTGTCTTTGGTAAACAAATATTGCGGAGTTTCATCTACGTTTTTTGGAATGTATTCAACTGTACGCAATATTCCATCGACTATAAATTGATAGGAGGGATAACAGTCAAATTTTTCATTTAAAAGTAAAAATTGGAGATGAAAGGGATTAGGGAAATAAATGCCTTTTGTATCGATAGTCGCGTGACGCACAACCATCGGTATGATGGTTGATTATGCTGGACTTGGCAGGTGGGGCAGACGTTATGACAGTCCTCGAGGCTTTAGAGTCCACGGGTGTCTGGCTCGAGGTGTTAGAGTCTACGGGTGGAACAGAGTGACTGCTTGAATTCTGGGGAGGTCTTGAGATGCCACTGGTGGGAAGCCTGGACCTGGAGATGGGCGATTTCAATCTTTTGGGTGGATTGGAGAGGCGAGGTGGAGAGGTGGAGATTCGCTTCTCTCGGGATCGATAGTCAGAGGCCGAGACCAAGGGTATTCTGGCAGGATGAGCACGAGAGGGGGCCACTTGGACGATGGAGCGTGGAGTGGGTTTCAGTGTGTTGGCAGGTGGTGAGGCCACAGGCATGGGTGGCGACATGGGTTCAAAGAGCTGAGGCTCAGGTGTGGGAGGCAACGGAGAAATCAGCTTCATCTGGCCAATATCCATAGAAGTGGGTGTCGGAGGTGATGGAGGAGGCGCCGACTGGAAATTCAATTCGGTCAAATCGTCTTCGTCAGAGGAGGAAGACGCCGAGTCAAAGTCCGAAGAGTCAGCCATGG